ACACACACACACACACACACACACACACACACACACACACACACACATACACACAAATCAAAGAAAAAATAAACGAAGCGAACGAGCAGCGGCAAAGAGCGAGCATGAGTTGGTGAGCAGGAGAGCGAAAGAGAAAGAGAGAGACCAACACGTTTCGATGAAGATAAAATGCGGACATGCGCAGAGAATTCGTTTTGTGTAAATGAGTTACATTGTTGATAACGATAGTAAAGCGCCTAAAACCGAGAGAGGATCCATCGTTCGAAAGGAGCGGCGGCGGATAGGAGAAGTTTGTCCGTTTGTGAAAGCACGAAGCACACACACGACACGAGAGAGAGAGAGTAAACGAGTTAGTCGACTGCGAATGAATGAGAGAGCATTCCGGAAAATATGATGTGCCAAATGAGTTCGTTTGCACAGTCTTTATAGCACCACGTGATGAACAGCACCAACACTGAAACCAGAACTTACCTTCGATCCGATGTTTACAGACATAATGTTGAATGAATATTCGGATTGTTTTGCGGTAAATTCTAACCACACTTTGACTTGCAACACTCGATGACTATAAAACATGGAATCTCCTACTCACTCTCGCTAAAATACTTATTGCGATCCGCATCGTACGTCGTTGAAACTACAAACTTTAACGAAAAGCACATACAGCGGAAAAGTGCGATTAAACACAAATTAGCAATTATTCGAATTCCGTTTGCGCTTCCGATTCGTACAGTTTTCAATTTTGAAAATTGTCGCTACGAAAATGAAAATCCCAGTAATTCACTCATAAACATGCACTTTTGAATCGATTTCCATAGCAAACCCATTTGGAATCGATTAATGAACTTTGTTTTGCTTGATGGTCTGCTATTGCCGTTCGCAAATATCTCGAAGAACCGAAAATAGCTTTTTGCCTATTAAAGTGTTCTCTACTCTCTACGAATGCCAGGTGACACGTGCAGCCGCCTCGTGAAATGATAACGGCATCGGACACATATGCATGCTGCTAAATAGCTAATTAAGAGACTAAAGCCCCTATAGCAAACGAAACCGTTTCTGTCTGCATGCTGTTTTCAATTCGCAACGATAATTTGCATAAATTTGCACAATCCCATTCAATCTTTTCGATGATCTATTGATTTCATTTTAAGACTGCCTAAACAAACCAGCACTACGGTACATCGAATGCGTTTGGTGCATGGTATGTGTGTATCAGTGCCGAGTTAACCAAATTTGGTGCCCGGGGCAAAAATGATTTTGGTGCCCCTTGCAATTTTTCCCGTTATATATACAAATAATTATTGGTAAAATGAACGTACATATTGAATGCGAGCGGGAGCGAGCAAAATTTGTTTTTAGAAATACCATTTTTGGGGCACCAAAAACATTTTTGGGCCCATTTTTGGCTGCGTGTTTTCTTTTTCAGATTATAAAAAAAAAAAATCCCATGCTTGTGATGCCCCCAAGAACGTGGTGCCCGAGGCAACTGCCTCATTTGCCATATGGCCAACTCGGCACTGGTGTGTATTGATACCGATGCTATACCCGATAACTTGACATTATATTGCTTCGTTCCACACACACATATAGAGGGAAAAAAAACTCATTTCAAGCGAAAAACCGCTGAAGAACGGTTAACATGCACGAAATTCGTAATGAACGCCCGTATTTTAGTCGTCATCATCGGCACAACGGAAGGAACAAGACAGCACAGAAAATATCATTAACATCTGTTGACTTTTTACTTATCATAAGCACACATACACACACACCACACTTCAAACGGGATGTGTTGTGCTGATGCTCCTAAAAATGTTCGTTTTGGTTTAAAGTTTTGGCTTAAGCTCACGGAGTGACAGAGCAAACGAATGAGTGCACGAGCCAGAGAGCAAGCAAACATTTTAAAGAGAAGGAAAAGAACCACCACTCAAACACACAACTTTTTACACATCACACCCAATCACACAGCCAGTGAGAAGTGGACAAAGTTTTCCTTTATTTGAATGTATGTATTTTACGCAAATGTTCAATATTCAGGGGTGCACTTCGATTATTCGCGCTCTTCGTTGTCATACAAACGTGTGCACATTTCACTTGAGGTCTGTCGAAAGCGTCTTTTCTGCTTACCATTTGAACAATTTTTTTTTATTCATCTCTACATAGAATTTACCAATGATCGCTTAAAATATACACGGTTGTGGCAATGGTACTGATGCCACGGACTTCCGTTCGTATAAATGGCACATCGCTGCTGCCACTGCTGCTTTTTTCAATTTTATCGATTAGTTTTTACGAATATAGAGCCTAATAATTTACGAACGACAGCGGTAAATTGGGATAGAGAGTGTGAGAGAAATGGGAAATTGGAGGGGAGACAAATATAGCCAAAGAATAGAACCAAAATTATTTGTAAAATTGCATAAGCATTTGATGGCATGCCATCATACATATATTTTACCTGGTCGTGTGCTTATCTGTTGGTAACCATCTCTTTGGCGTTCCGTTTAATTCGTACGCACGCACGCACGCACGTAAAATCATTTTCGAAATCGATTTTTAAGGAAAGTTTTCTCAGTGGGAACAAAAATCGCATCAATATTCTGCAACCATTCGGCAAATATTCAATAAAAATATTGTACATCGGTGAAATAATGCGTTTTTTTTTGGTTTCATTGATACACACACAATGGGCTCCATCTCTTTCGTTTGTTAATGGAAAAATTTCCGAGAAGACGATCTAGCGAAATGAGTGAACGAGCCAAAGATCGTTCTCATTGCACGTCGCCATTTATGCTTTTTTATTTTCTTTTCGTCACTTTCTACTCTCAGCTGAAAACAATTCGGTTCATTTGTTGATTCATCGAATCAAATCGATATTTGATGTTTTCGAATATATCCACATACAGCGTTTCCGATGTGAATCTAAATCTAACTTGAATTTGCTTTCATTAGCATTGCATTTATGAATTAATTTTAGATTACTTAGGAGAGGGCACAAAAACCGATTCAAATGAGCATTCTTCGGGAGGTGAAACTAGAACGTGTATGAAGCAACGAAATCAAATAAAATATTCACCAAAACAGATTTCTATCGCTCTAATTGTGCCGTTCATTTTTTATGCTGACCAAGCCCGAGTAAAAAGAGTACAATGTGGCATGTGCGCTAGTGTTTGTTTGTTTGTTTTTTTGTGCTAACATAAAATATGCTACAGAGCGAACAATGATAATACACACCCATCCCAACGCATTCCAAAAATAAAACCGAAAAAAACCAAAACCAATACTTGTTTTATCCGCTTGCACCTTTTGACTGGTAGAGAAATAGTCGGACACTGAGTGTACGAGTACAAATAATCAAGAAGGCGTTTCGAAGCGCAATTAATAGGAGTTGAGGACGTGTTGACTAAGTGATGAATTTAAAATATGAACGTTCGACAGGCACACCACCGTACTTGTTAGCTATGGTAGTTAAAACCACCACTCATAACATTTCCCAAGCTAAATGCTTTGGTGCTCAATTTTACCCAAAAAATGACTTGCACTTCATTGAATGATTATTTCCAAGTTTTCGAAAAGCCCCAATTATTCAAAACATATCCCTACAGAGAGGACGAAAGCTTGCTTTTTTTTGCATTTCTTCAGTTTTTCTCCCATAACTCGTACCCTATATGTGATGGAGCAGAGTTTTGTTCGACAAAGTTTTAGATCTCTTTAAAATCCACAATTTTGCCGCAGACAGTCATCACTTATCTCTTATCAGTAAGGAGATAACAGTGATAATTGATTAGAGTTATCAAGGCCTGTCTGCAACAAAATTGTAGGTTTCAACAAGATCTAAAACTTTGCTGAAAAAAGTTCTGCTCCATTGCATATGGGGTACGAGTTATGAGAGAAAAACCGAAAAAACGCAAAAAATCCGTGAATATTAATAACGTGCGAGTCCTTAGTTAGAAAAAACT